GGAGTCTGACCCCACAATCTTGAGGTCATGACCTGAGCTGAAATCAAGAGTCCCACACTCAACCAACTGAGCCACCCAGGTGCCCCGACATACCCCCAGTTCTTTCTCCTCTCTCTCTCTCTCTCACTTTTCCTTCCTTCCTTCTTTTGTTTCTTCGTTCGTTCGTTCTTTCGTTCCTTCCTTCTTTCTATTTCAGGGCTCAGCTTAAATGTCACCTTTCCAAAGCCTTCCTTAATCTCCATGTGTGGAAGTTATTTACTGCCATCTCTCAATCACCATAGCAATTTACATTTATTTAGCATCCACTTATATAGACCTTATTATGTACTAGGCTCTATTCTAACCAGTTTTAAAATATTAGTTTAATTCTTATTAAGGTAAGTACTATTGTTATCATCATCCCCATTTCATAGATCTGTCTCTCCTCTGGCATTTGCTACTTACTACCTATGTAATCTTGGGCAAGTTACCTAAACACACTGCCCCTCAGTTACCTTACCAGTAAAATGGATATAATAGCCGTAACGGTATTATGGAGATTATGTGAAGTGATGCATATATTTAATGCAGTGCTCTACACATATTGAGTGTTCCATAAGTGGAACTATTAGCTATTACTTATTGCATATTTTAGTGTGTGATCCTGTGCTAAGTATTTACATGTATTAACTCGTCTAGTCATGACAGCCCTGCCACAGAAATGGTATTATCATTCCCATTTTATGAGCGAAGTAGCACACGAAGACGTTAAGTAACTTCCCCCAACATCCCATGACTGAGATCTGAACCATGGAGTATGACTCTAAAGACCATGCTCTTAGCCACCATATTAATCGATGTTAATTATTGTTGACCATACTCTGCTTTGTATTATTATTATTTTTGTGTTTACCTTGTTACCCTTTAAAACCAAACATCCTAAAAGCTAGGGCTATGTCTTTAACCCTTGAAGAACCCCTCAGAATCAGCATTCACTACGTAATTGTCACTGAATAAGTGACAGAAGGCTTTACTTGTTTCCATAGGAAATAACATTTACTTTAAGTAAATATCTGTTTGGTTTTTCTAGATATAATCATGAGCTCTTCGTTTTAAAGACTTCTGAAAATATATATCCACTAATACTATATGATAAAAATGGAAAGTGTGTGAATGAAGAGAAGGATGTTTATTACAGCCTAGCTTGAGGCTGTTTCTTATGAGTTTCCATTGTGCCAAACATTTTGTGTACAATATAATTTAGTCCTCACAAATCCCTACTAAGAAGATATTATTATCCTCATTTTACAAATGGAAAAATAGTGCTAACCAACTGTCTGTGAAGAGCTGGACCAGCCACAACCACCTAGATCTCTCTATTCTGAAGACTGTACTCATGACTGTTTTCATGTACTCATGCTAGACTGCCTGGTTATCTGTTTCTCCTGAAGGTAGAGAGAACCACTCCCACCTGGAGGGACAGTGCTAGAGATCCAAGAGGCCATTTCCATATTTCTTTCAATTCAAGAATTGCCAAGGAGATAGGCAGGACATGTATGCATGGAAAGGAGCATACAGGAATTACACTGAATGGAAAGAATTTTGAGGGACAAATTAGCAGTAATATGACTGGGTTTTAAAAACTGAGTGAATAATGTAATGCTACCCATCAAAAAAAGGAGGAACCACTGAAGCAACATGGATGAGTCTGGCAGACATTATGTTGAGTGAAAGAAGAAAGAGACAAAAGATTACATGCAATATGATTCCAGTTAATTGGATGTTCAAGACAGGTTAACGTAATCTATGGCAATAGAAATTGGAACAGTGGAGGTCTGGAGTGGGGTTGGCTAGAAAGTGGTATGCAGGCACTTTTTGGGAGTGATGGAAATATTCTCTGTCTTGATTTGAGTGTATTTGTCCAAACTTACCAAACTGTACCCTTAATTTCTTTGCATCTCACAAAATATAAATTATACGCCAAAATTATTTTAAAAAATATTTTTAATTTTTTTTTCAACGTTTTTAATTTATTTTTGGGACAGAGAGAGACAGAGCATGAACGGGGGAGGGGCAGAGAGAGAGGGAGACACAGAATCGGAGACAGGCTCCGGGCTCTGAGCCATCAGCCCAGAGCCTGACGCGGGGCTCGAACTCACGGACCGCGAGATCGTGACCTGGCTGATGTCGGACGCTTAACCGACTGCGCCACCCAGGCGCCCCTTAAAAAATATTTTTAAAATACCAAACGAATAGGCCTTTGGGTATAAGAGGTGGGGGGGGGGGTGGTGGCATAAAAAGTGAATGGCTTTGTTTAATCATTTGCCAATCCCTGGATGCTACAATGTTCTACTGGAAGGGCCCTAGGCAGTCATTTTTACAGTTTTGATTGTGCCTATCTTATATTGGACAGGCAGACTTTTAAAGCAATCGTTACCTAAGCTATTACAAGGGAGGAAATGTATACATATTTGGTTGGGGGGTGGACAGCAAAACAAATACTTTGGTGACTACTACCTTGAAACCTTCGTGAGGGATGATCTTTTGTAACCTCGAGTAGTCTAGGCTACTGTTTAGTATGCGGAAAGGGAGAAGGGAGTTACACTAGAAAAGCAGAATTGCAGGATGAATTACCCTGGAAATGTCTAACACTCTGTGGGTGTAGGAAAGGTGTGTCCCAGAACCAAGCGCTGAACTAGATCAGAAGATCTGAGTTCTGGTGTCCCTCGTCACTCATTCTGTGACATCGCACAGGACACTTAACCTCTCTGGGCTACTGTTTCCTCATCTTTAGGCCCGGCAACCCATGCTTTGCCTGTCCGCAGAGTTATTTTGAGGGTGAGATTATAAATGTAAACATACTTTTAAAGTGCTCCATCATTAAATACTAAATGTTACAGACTTTTTTTTTTCTTTGTAAGAGAAGTGGTAGAAAAATCTCTGTAATGAGTGTGACTCGTCTCTCATGCAGACATTTTGGAACGAGTTTACACATTCCTGGTTGAAAAAACTGTCTGGCCAAAAAAGATTAAGTAAAGAAATGTCAAGTCCTGACACTCCTTCTAAGGCCAGCGAATGCTTTGGTGGACAGCCAGGGTTATCTCTCTGGATTCCTTCTAAACTTGGCAATAGAGTCCTCCAAACTCTTGAGTGCCTTCTTCACAGAGATGCTGAGTAACATGTCACCCCAGATTTGAGTGAGCCCCAGTCTGCACAGGTGCTTGTGTCTTCACTATTTCTCCTGACAGTTTTGACAGCCGTCCCGCTGATCCGGCTCAAAGACGGGATCAGAGGAAGAGCTTTGTCCTCTGTCCCCGGGCCAGGGGGAGAAAGGAGCCCAGTTTTGTCCCAGCAGAATGGGCAGAGCCATGGGTCCTGTATGAGCGGCTGGGATTGAGGCAGGATGGCTAGGCGGATGATTCGATCTGACTTGGGTAATGAAAATTGTTTGTTACTGTTTGAAGAGCAATTGTGTAAGCAACAGTGCTTCTGTGTTAGGCTGCCTGTGACCCACCAGTATCTGTAACATAACACCCACCCCAGAGGAGGAGCAGACCCAGGCCAGCCGGGGAGGGGAGAGATGCAGGAGAGGGGGGCACAGGGCCCCTTTCTCCCTCCTCCACTGTCCCACCCCCTCTCTAAACCTCGAAGGAGAGTTGGCGAGAAGGCATTTGCCACCTGGACACAATGAGGCCCAGTGCGAGGGGCAGGCGTGAGGCTGGCTGCGAGCCAGGGCCCCAGTCTGAATGGCCGTCGCCAAGGGGCTGCCAACGGCCCATCTCTATCCCGGAGAGGCCAGGCCAGGACCAAGGCGGGGGCCCTCAACCCCCACCTCCGAGGTCCAACTCGCGCCATTCGCTGGCCGTGATCAGAATGCGCGG